ATACTTTTCCCATGCCGGATGCTTTGGAAATGTGGGAGTTTCAATGAATTGCATGTTCAATGGCCATTTCAAAGCAGAATGAGCAGTTCTTCCACCTGGTAGCAATGTCGCAGCTATTCCAGACGACGCAAGAGCTAAGGCTATGAAATTTTGGGATCGAATTGCTGCTAGAATCAATCTAATTAGGAACGTTTTACCATTTCCTCCTTGCGCATGTAAGAAGAAGATTTCTCCAACCCCATTATTGACAGTTTGCATTATTTGATCGTAAATGCCTTTTTGCTCAAGCGTTAGCTTAGGAATATTTGATTGTACATACGACAAAAGATCACCCGTGTTGTAATTTTGTTCACGACACAATTCTACATCGAACGAAGCAGCAGCAGATCGATTCGGTGATGGCATTCCCAATTGATTGAGAACTTTGTTCGCGATTTCTAAGCACAAATCTTCAATCATTATCAATGCTTCGTTGTAGATTTCTGCTGTGAAATCCATGTTCATATTTGAATTTTCCTTGCGTATTCGACGGAAAATATCTTCAGCCATGTGCGATTTATATTTCTCCCATAACTCTGTTGCAGATGAAGGAGAGCAGGCGGTCAGTATGATTGCAAACAATGCACGAATTTGATTTAGATGTGACGTGTTGCACGCATCATTAATGCATACATCCCAGTGTCGGTCGTTCTCCAATAAATTCAGAGCTTGACATGCACTGCGGAAAGTGGCATGTGTAACGCCGTTGACAATTCTCAATTGCTGGAAAGACGTTGGATTGGGCACATTTACCAACAGCATGCGAATAAAGAAGCATTCATCTTGATTGGGATGCACGGTGTACAGTCTGCCTATCGTAGTTTCTTTAAATATGCCATGTTGTCCGTCGACTCGCTCTTCTCGTTTGCGTCGTTCAAATGATTTTCTACTCGCATTCCATGTGTAATACATAGGCACTTCCGAATACAGCAGTGTTTTCGCAAACGCGTCATTTTGACATAACGTGAAGAAAGCAGTTAACGTTGCAGCCGGTGGATTCAGGGCTATTTGTTGCCCATTTGCAACTGTGAAATAAACGCGTTGTCCATTTTCTAGATGTACTGCTAAATGAACAACAGCCATACAGCTTCATTGCTGCTTATGTATCTTCCAGCCTGATACTGTGCGATTTCATCGATATGTATGACCACATTCCTATCACTTCTTTCTGGTTGCACGCCAAAAACTGCAATGTCGCTGCCTTTATTCACGTACTTACAAATGTATTTGATCGATTTAACGGAGTTACAGTATTCCACGTTTATGTGAGCTTTGTATGTTTTTGATAGCAAAGGCGAATATGGAACAACCCACCGGTTATCTACTTCGATGTCACCGTTTCGCATTTGTATGGTTGCTAATTTACCGCCATCTTCTGCTGATTTTCTTCTGTATAAAGGATATCCATCGTTTCCTGTAACTGTGTTGGATACTAATACTCGAGGATATCGCTTAGAGCATTTTCCGTCTATCATGCATGGTGAATTTGGATTCAGTGTACCGCAAGGTCCATGTATCATATTTTCGTCACAACTTCATGCAAATCCTTATCGACGTCGGCATCGGGTGTTTCAGCGCATATTACATCGTCGATTTCGTTTGAAGTGATTTTGTTATAGAGCCAGATTAGTATATGTGCGTGTGGCAATCCTCTCTTTTGCCATTCCACTGAGTACATCCAGCAGCGCACAGACCCAAACACTTCATGTTTTACCATGAAATCGATCAGCGATTTCAGCTTCTGTCTGAAAACACGTGCTGTGATGTCATACCTATCCACCGGCGATTGCCCAGGAAGTAAGAGCTGTTGTATATCGTCCCATGCTGGATTGCATGTGAATGTAACGAATAGGTCTGGACGCCCGTAGTGACGAACATACGCAATTGCATCTTGAGCGTACTCATGCATATGACGTGGACTGCCTGTATATGAAGTTGGCAAAATCGTTAGTTTTCCAACGTTAGTTGTATTACCGTCATTTACAACTGCATCTCGCAAATGAACGTATTCTTCAGAGCGAAGCTTGGTCTGATTCAAACGGATGAATATCAAACGTTCTGTTTCGATTTTTGCATACATATCTATGTATGTATTGGTGAAACAATTGACGGCATTTCAAAATGTGATTGTCTTCATTCTCTCGAATCATTAATCGGTATGAATAATAGTTCATTGCGCTGCATTTCATATTTGTTTCTTCGCTACTGACTATACTCACGAAATGAACGCTATGGTAAACGACACAGCTCAATTCCAACGCAATGCCACACGAAATAATTAAATCAAAATGAAAATAAATCGAAATCTATGAAAATTCAATTTAACAGTGCAATCGGAAACATTGAAATGGAATCGTAAAATAGGAAATCGTAAATGGATCGTAAATCGGAAACATTGAAATGGAATCGTAAAATATTTAGTATAGCGTGTGTTGCTTTTACGTCCAACAGATGGCGCTGTTTTTCAAAAAGTGTGTTTTTACCTGTCACAAGTGCGACATTTATAAAATAGTAGGTATATAAAAACACGCGCGTATTCGAATGCAACGTTGTGTCAAAATTTCAAAGCAATCGGTGAAGAACTTTCGGAGATTTAAGATTTTGAACATACGAACATTTACATTTTTATCTATATAGATGATATGTATATTAAAAATATTCCAGTTTTAAAATAATATTGATTTGCCTGCGGTTCACGTGTATGTTCCTTTAGACCTGTCGTATAATGCTCCCTTCGAACGTCCTATGTTTGATAATCCATCTGGTGCCAAACCTTTTGTTTCATTAAAATTTAAAACCACCAGAGGTAGAGCGTCTCAGCCCGAAATATTGTGAACATTAAAACATCTATTTAACATTAGACTCAAGTCTAAGAAAGAGTTATTAAAGTAAGTACCGACTGTGTAAGAAATTATTGATAACCTGTGAAGAAATAATCACTGTACAATTCAATGACTAAGCTACTGTTGAGATACCTTCATTGTTTGGGTTTAGTGCTAAGTCAAGGAGTAGGACTATAACATATGTTTTACTTTTTTTGAACTTTCAAGTAGCCAGAGTGAGAATGAATATATCCATACAAGAAATCAAGATTAATTTGAATATATTACAGTTTAAGTAAATGAAATTTGAGCAAGTTGATATGTTGAATTACAAGCGAGCTTTTTATTAATTTTTTATTTGTAATTATCCAATAAATCGATAACTTTTTGTGTATCATTAAAACTCGAGTCACGTGTTAGATTCTAAACTAATGCAGTTGATTTCCCACTACATATTAGTAATAGTATACAGATATTGTACGCACTGTTTATAATATTCTCTTTGTGTTTACGCATACAAGTATTCTGTCAGCACGTGACTGCCACATGTTTAAAATATTATCAAATCAGCAAGGCCACCGCTCCTTACTTTACCTGCATGATAACATGCCTGCTATGGCAACCACCATATATGACCACGTGTACACACCACAGTGCAGATGGAAAGCTAACATAGATTCGCACTTCTAATATTACAGGCACACAAGTGATACACTGGGAACTTTCGCGTGTTAAATATTTATGTGTCGACTAGGCTTAAGTTTTACATTGTTTTGATAGAGAATTTCAATTGAAATTAACTTCAGAAAGAACCAGGTGAAGCCAAACAACCCGTATATTCCGTCAACTGTTATATTCCTCTATTGTTATACGCCATTGTTACCTGAGTAAGTAAATCGTTCTTACCAGTTATTTACCGTAGACACTTGTTTAAATGTTACATCTCCTTTGTGAGGTAACAATTAACTTTTGCAACTTTTTAAAGCGGCCAAAGTTAAAGGTTGCGCGAAAAACGAAGACAGCAATAAATCCTTGTTTTCTGGCTTCCACTTTCTATATGCACAAAAGATAAGATGAAATAAGCAAATATAGTTGGAATAATATAATTGTTGTAAAGTTTGAAGAAAGCTTGATCAAAATCAAACTCCATAAAATCGACAGGTATTAAATTTGTAAACCTTAAAATCCGACGTGTTTGTATTTATCTTTGTGTTGAACCAGCCAGATTCCAGGAACTATTCATCTATAGACAGCAGTGTTTTTTGTTTGTATTGGTTTCCAACAAATCATACTTCCACAGTTGTTTTGTAGGATTAATAAGAGATTATCTGTGAATGTAATAATAACAAAATGCCGTATAATTAATAAATTTCACAAAGTTTGAAGCGTTGGCTATATGAACATCACAAAATTACATATATACACATATATGTACGTTCGTGTAAGAAGTAAAGTCACACATTATAAATACCATCAGAACTTTGCATGTGTAAGCGTCGACGTTTTGTTACATATCATAATACGATATAATTTTAAAAAATTATCTCACACACACAGATAATGTACGTAGGTTGTTCTGAGCCAAATAGTCCGTCGGTGGAACAGCGGTAAGTTTACGGAATTACAACGCTAAAACTCGGGGTTCGGTTACTCTCGGTGGACACAGCAGATATCCCAACGTGGCTTGGCGCTAAAAAGTAAGCAAATAAACTGAGCCAAAAAAATTTATAAACCACATTACAAGGCGCTGAAAACACTTGGGTTATCCGATTTTTTAGTCGTGTGTTATAAAAAAGTTATTTTCATATTTACAGTAGAGTAATCTCATATAAAAGAAACATATACTACATTAAATACCATACGTAGTCAGTATTACAGATCGTTTTAATGATTTTTTGAGATCAAAGTCCAAATCGAAACAGCTTGCGAAATGTTAGACGTGTTACTAATGAAACATTGATACTGGTAGACGGATAAGTTAAAAAATAAATGTTTAAGCATATGAACAGACTTATCAAAATACAGGTGGATACTTATGAAACATTTCCTAGAAGCCAGCTTGCAACGTAACTTAACATATGTTGTGCCTGTAACTATGACAGCTACGCTGAAAATAGAAAGGCTAAATATGGTTTCTGGAAAGAATCGATTTCGGATTCTTATTTAGAAAAGTTTGTTTTTTATGCATCTCTGTTAAAATAAGTCAACAAATCTTTATGAAAGTGATATTCTATAGTATATTGAACATGATATTATATATGTTTTGTATTCTTCTGTTAAGCTTTGCATCTCTAGTTTAAGGTTTTCGCAATGTTTCTATTCCTCTGAATATTTTTCACAAAAGTGAGGAAAGCATATTATTCACCTTTTTAATTTGAGTGTAAAACTATTTAGAATTTCTCTTGGAAAGTATACCTGTGTATATAAACACACTAGTAAGGCTTTCAAATGTTACTAATCGCTATAGAAGTTAAGTATGGTTGATCACAAATGAAAACTGGTTAATTACATAAACAATTAATTATTTTATAATTATCTATCTCGTTTGGTCGGATAAATATTGTAGCTTTACCTTATAGCATTACCACAAAATGCACACGTATAATAAATGCTTAAGAACTGGAAATAGTAGATTTTGTTTCCAAATCATTCTTCTTGACCTCATTCATTTTTATTGATTCCCAATTAACCAGGATACACCCATTTAACGCTTTAAAAATTCATCCATCGTATTGGTACTTTCTTCCTTCTTTTTTAATGTTGTTGTTGTTTTGGCGCCAAGCTACACAATGAGCTATCTGCGCTCTATACACCGCGGAGAATAGAACCCTGGATTTTTAGCTTTGTAAGTCTGTAAACATACCGCTGACCCACCGGAGGGGAGAGGGTATTTATATATAATTTTGCATTAAGTCAAGCAAACATGGTTGTAAAACCCAAAGGCATAATTGTACGGGAAATCTAAAATACACAGGGCTTTATATCATATGGCGATACTGTAATACTTATGACTTGGAAATAATAATGCATTTTTCCAGATAGAATAGTTTGGTTACTGTCTGCCCATTATAATTTTAGTGAAGAGGGTGCAAGGAGGCTAATAGGGGTGAGTGTGTGCCGGGAAACCTTATAAATGTTGTGTGTGTTAGTGTGTTAGCCAAGAGCCAAGTGCATAACATTTATAATGAAAGTAAAGATATAAATTCTACACCTTAAAAGAAGAAGTCAAACTTCAACTATAACACAAAATTTAACCTGTCCATGCTGCAGAGAGAATATTGATTTTTTTTATACCCAAACTGCTAATGTTGAATTTTACTTTAAACGACTTAACAGGATTATTTTTATGCTCAAACTACCAATAATGACTTAAATGGAATGATTAATTAAAAAATCAAACTTTTGATAAAATGTTAAAATATCATTCTATATAAAATAGTTGGTTAGAAGTTAAAGTCACGAAATCAACTAATTGTATATTCAACAAATATAAATTATATGAATGTGAAAATGTGGTACTGTTTTGACATTACTTATAACAGGAGGTTTTGTATATAGTATTTATTTTAGTATACATATATATTTATAATTTTCGCGCAAACCTACACAAGGGCAAAGAGGCATTCCTAATTTTAAATTATTCTTGTCTAATCGAATAATAGGATTTGATATTCACTCTTATAACACACCCATGGCTCTAAAGTGCGGAGCCTCTTTTTTAGCGGCAACAGGACGCGAACTAAGAAGTAAGAACCCTGGGATTCATAGTCTTGGTACATATTAACCATTAGGCTCCCCCTTTATTTAGTAAACTAAGAGTTATATCTGCAACATTTTTGAAAGAAGTATTGAGCATCCTGTTGTGTCATATTATTGTTTTCTAATTTTTTTCTTATGAAAGCTCTTAAAATTATTTTCTAAAGTTTGTTATGAATGGTTTGTTATACATTTCGCGCAAAGCTACACGAGAGGTATCTGCGCTAGCCGTCCCTAATTTAGCAGTGTAAGACTAGAGGGAAGGCAGCTAGTCATCACCAACCACCGCCAACTATTGGACTACTCTTTTACCAACGAGTAGTGGAAATGACCGTAACATTATAACGCCCCCACGACTGAAAGGGCGAGCATGTTTGGGGTGACGGAATTTATTCGAACCCATGACCCTCAAATTGCTAGTCGAACGCCATAACCAGCTGGCTATGCCGGGCTGTTTTCTAAAGACATATGCTAACGATTTTTTTATGGCTAAACGAAACGTCTTCCTGGCATGGCACACTAACACAAACAATGACCAATGATAATTTTTTTCTTTACGTTTCATCGTTTGTGCGTAGAAAGCGGGACTCATGGACACTGCCTTTTTATAAGTAGAAATATTATAATATCCTAGCAAGTGTTCTGTAATATCATACATGGATGCCTATCGCTTCATACTATATATTTTAATTGGATACGCCTAAATAAGTATTCTACACAATAAAATTCGTATTTCTTCTAATAGCACGTTTAAAAAGTAGGGTTTGGTGTTTCTATTCCGCTGTCTTGGTAACACTGGTATCTTGATCCGGGCAAGGAGAATGCATTACAGCAAAAAAACTATTTTGTACGTACTTACACTTTTCTTAGCCGACAACCCGACTGTAACAGGTGGTGCAAATTCCAAATTACTTTGAAGAGACAACATGTGAAAAAACGCCTAATACTATAGCAAAAATTCGGTTTATTTTTAATAAAATCACCTAATACCATGAAGTAGTGAATCTTAAACTGGTTGTTTTGTTCTACTGTAGAAGTTACTATAAGTGAGACATTATAATTAATATACTTGTATAGTTCCATTATTTTCTCAAGCCTGTATTTCTCAACTAACAATATCTAAGCCTGACGTTCAAATATTTCTTGTTATCCTGAAAATACTCCTTATGAAGAAAAATGTACATAATGATTAAATTTAAGGAAAAATAGATAAATTAGTATTTAATGCCTAATTATTCACTTCCTGTGGAATTGTTTTTCATAGTTTTAGCCTACTAACATAACTTGATTTCAAGGAATTTCGTCCATCTAATTTTTGGTTGCCATGCCACTGTTATTGAGTGCCATATAGTGTGTGTTTTTTCTTTAACCCGTCCCCAGTGGCTCAGCAGTAAGATTTATAACCCTAAAAATAGGGTTTCGACATCTGTGATGGGCACAGCACAAATAGCCCATTATCTTGCTTTGCACTTAGCAACAAACAAAATTTTTTAACCCTAGAATTACCGATGAGATCTATCAGTCTTTTCGAAACTTATTTTCCTAAACCATGTGGTTATATGAGACTGATGGTTACAAAATCCTTAATAACATATGAATCGCACAAAAATTTTAAATAAAAATACTGTCAATACTGAAGTTAATACCAGTATGTATTTATATAGGAAGTGAGTGATTTCACCATTTTGTTTTGTCAGTCCTTTGCATTAATTATTGTAACAGACAAAAACATAAAATTATTCAATATGACGCAGAATGGACATGTGGTAGTGAACAGTATTGTTCTAAGCTCTGATTTTTTTACAAAACTTAGACGTTTGTATTGTTTTTGGCTAGAGAGAGCAAATAGCTTAATGACTAGAATTTTTTTGAAAGTTTAGGAAACGATTTCAGTGACATAAAACGCGAATTAGGTGAAACTAGAAATATTTTTTGATAGTTTAGTGAGCCTTTTACAGTGGTTGATATGAGAAATGCCGTATGTACGAATATAATATAAGCAGTTAATATCCCTATTGAGGCTTTCTTTATTTGTGAAGTTGGGCCCATCGTTAGCTATGTGTAACTTGTACAAGTTGTATTTGTATGACTTTTAGTCGGAGAAATAAAACGATTTCGCTAGCATTAAACGGACTGGACTTTGCATTCTTCTTTTTACTGATAACACCCCCCTCCCCCCCAAAAAACCTAGATTAATCAAAGATGAAAATTTTCCATACTTAATCCATAATTATTTTTATATTTGACTCGATTATTTTGCTGTCTCACTTAACTCAGTTACTATTAAAACTAGATTAAAAAACAAAGTTCTTTGTACTTCCGACAATGTGCCGTTTTTTGTTCTATACAAATATAAAGAAACTGAAAATCAAATAACTAACGGTTGCAATGGTTTCTATTGTTAGGTGCAGCTTTCTTGTAAATTATTCATAAGCTACATGTCTTACATATATGTGTGTGTGTAAAATATTGCCAGACACACTATATTTCTGTCCTTTCCAGGAACTATAAAGTAAACCGACATGGACAGTTCTTACATCTTGGCAGTTGAAGATCATGATAAAGTCCGATTTGTTGAAAATATCGACGAAAACAGAAATTCCATCGGTACGCTAAAATTAACAATTAATTACTTTTGTTTCTCAAATAATATACGAACCAGCTTTTTTTTTTGAAAATAATATAGTGTAAATATCACGATTCTTTTTTAAAATTGTAATTTCTATGTGTTCAGTGATTTTATAGGAAATATCATTCTTCAAAGGAAAAGTTATTAAATTGCCCATCAAATAAAACTTTTATTCTTTGCGTCATACGGCCACGTTTTCTTCGTCAGCTGGCTTGATGACGACATCAATGCGATTTTTAAAGTGTTTAACTGAGCATTGTTTCTTCGTCAGCTAGTTTTTGATTTTAGGTAGTGGTAGAAAAGTTTATTTGCTTATTTCTTTTCTAAATGTATCAATAAAGTATGCTTCGGCTTGAAACTTGATGTAGTGTTTCTCCTTCTAAAACGAGTAAAAAAATCAGAGATGAAAAGTTGTCTTTTGATGAAGATGAGTTTGAATATTTGTGAAAGTGAATCTGTAGCCGTACAAGTTGAACAAATAATGATGATGAACTGATCAGTATGCAGTCGTGCAGAAACAAAATTCAGTACTTTGCCACATACCGTATTGTTAGTCTCTGAAACATACAGGTCGTGAGGGATTGCAGCAATCAGCCAATAACACATGTTGATCACATTGTAGATTGAACTGGCCCTCCCTTGAACTTAGACTTCGAGATTAAACAGTTTTCTGAATATTAAACTTACTTATTATATCTTGATAGATGTTTTATTTCAGCAGCTAAATTTCAGTATGGCCTGATTCACCCAATTGTGACATAGAGTGGTATTGTTTAGATAAACATCAGTATTACTTTCTGAACTAGTGAGGACATTAGGCTTTAGTAATGTTTCTGCTAACTGTGTATTATTAGTCGGATTTGACACAGTTTTTACACCTATAACACTCGTCCATTCATATCTTTCAGGCAGCCTTTAAGTACAATATTGTGTGTTTTTGTTATTTATATATATATAAAAATACTGCTGACTCCATTCATTATAGTGAAGATATATATATATACATCTCTCTATGTAAGATACGTATACAAATCAGTTATTATTGTCCGCGATTACCTTGATGTATACATCTCTCTATGTAAAATACGTATACAAATCAGTTCTTATTGTCCGCGATTACCTTGATGTATACATCTCTCTACGTTAAATACGTATACAAATCAGTTCTTATTGTCCGCGATTACCTTAATCACTTTTTCATTGATTTAAATTATTATTCATTTTTCATTTCATATTATATACAATTTTTGTTTGTTTGTTTATTATAATATGTATCTGTAGTTTTCGACAAATCAGGTTTCTTTTTATATAATTTTCAATATTGTATACAACTGTCACAGCCGAACAGATTTAAGTTAGTTATATATATGTATATATACACTTGAAAAACGGCATTCACTCGGAACATTGTACAGTTTTATTAAAATATGTGTATTGCCAGTCTTCGCTCAACTTTCTTTGTTCTGTAAGCAGCAAAACGCTTTATTCTTCTTGTTATATATCAATATGAAGCTTAAAAATATATTATCATTTTGTTAATTTTTGTTAATTTTGATAATTTCTTTATTCTTATTGTTATATATCAATATTAAGCTTAAAAATATATTATCATTTTGTTAATTTTTGTTAATTTTGTTAATTTCCTTATTCTTCTTGTTATATATCAATATTAAGCTTAAAAATATATTATCATTTTGTTAATTTCTAAAGCATAAAAAACAGTAGCAGATTAATTTATGTCTTACATTTTTTAGCGTTTTCATTGTATAAAACGCCCTTTCATTTAATAACTTAACTGGGCGGGAAAAGGACAAAAGAATTACTCTGGAACGATGTTTTCATTTTATTTTTATGAACATTTATGCCAACACAACAGGAAAACGAATAAACTGTGTATTTCACACTCGAGATAACAAGAACTTGCTTTTAAACTGAAAAGTAAAAAAACACTGCTATTGTACTTAAAAAGTAGACACGTGTACCAATTTTATATTTCAAAGTTATGTTTGGATAAGTTAGGCTATTTGCACTTTTGAACCTGTACTAACAAACCTTGTCATGGGCAAACGTTTTAAAGAAATGTCTTTCTTTATGGCTAAAATCTATAGTTAATGCTAAATGATAAAAGCTAACATTTTTGTTTCACCTCAGACCTGTTTAGAGGACATTTCTATCATGTGTTTAATAATTTTAGTTAGAATATATGTCTGTTAACAAATGCAAATTTATTTTCAAAAACTCTTGTTTATTTTAAACTAATTAATAATTGCACTACGTAAATGAACCTGTCGCTTTTTGAAATATAAAAGGTTAATTGATCTACCAAAATTCATTAGCTGAATTAATAAATCAAATATACCGAAATTATTTTTTAAAAGACTTAAACGATTGACTGTAGACTTTATTAAGCACCTAGCTCAATATGGCCGAATATCGACTGTTAAACGTTAGTTCTAACATTCCTCTTGCATTAAACAGTCATTATTTTAATTATTCACATTTTATTTTTTGCGGTTTCTATTCTGAAACTAACAGACAGAAATAAATTTACATTCCTTGTGAAGTTAATTAATCGTCATGATCAAACAAAATCACCATAAGCAAAAGTGTATAAGGATTTATATTCATATTTATGACAAACCTACTATGGTTGTTTGTAATCATCTCTAATTTTGAACTAATGACCAGAGGGAAGGAAGCCAGTCAGCAACAGCCTATCATCCACCATTCACGATAAGGAATTGACTGTCACTGTTATAAAACACACCACAGTTAAAATGCAGAGATTTTGTAGCATTACATGAATTTGAACCCGATTTGCCAGCTCCGAAATCCAGAGCTGTACCACAGAACCAACCCATGCGCGTGCATAAGGAAATAAATATTGTGGCAGTGGTGGTATTTGGTGACTTGAAAAATATTTTAAACAAGCCATATCATTAATATTCACTGCAGTTCACTAAATTCCAAAATTGTTTGGGCCTTGTATGGCCTGTGAATTTTGCATAAGTGCCGTTCAATATTAGGATAGTTTGTTGTTTTCTTTCTAGGAACGTTGATGATCATAATGTAAAGTAGATGGAGTCAGAAAAACGTTAACCAGTATCATTTAACTAGTTATTTTATTTTTTCCACGTTGATGAGATTTTTATTTCGAATGTCAAATTTTCTCAGCTTGCACACCTAAGGGTTAAAAACAATTGCCCTTAGTTGCAGCATAGTCGATTTTCTTGTTTGCACTCACCATTGTCCTCACATTGCTCCAGTATTCAAAAGTTAAGTGCAACACAGTTCGACAACTCGTGATCTTGGCTGTCGTTACACCTTAGGCAAAGTCTGGTAGTGTAAAAGTGTTTC